GGGACATCTCAGAAAGACAACAGTAGGAAGGATTGGGATTTGGGGAGTCGTACCACAGGAAGACAGGAAGTTCCATGTCAACCTTGCTGAAGAATAGCCCCGAGAGGCACAGAGCCCGCCTTGGACCTACCACCTGGGAGTCGTACTGCTAGAGATTTTCTCCGCACGTGTCGTGAATCGCCCTCGCGTATTTTACCGAAACTGTACCATAAATGGACACTAGCCGTTCCGTGAACAAACACCTATAACGTTGACGACAATCGCGTTTTGAGGGAAAGCGCCGCGAGGGACAATAGCGCTTTTTCGCATGCGTCCGCTATGAGCCACCGGTGGCTCATATTGTCCCACGTGGCTACTCGCTTATGAGCCACCGGTGGCTCATAATGTCGTCAACATGTTAATTCTGTCTCTAGTCGCAACTGCACTCCATATCCCGGAGCTGAGGGGGGCGTGGCAATTAATTCATTATGGAATGGCAAGAATGCGTTACTCGTAGGATATTTCCACTTTAGACAATTGCCATTCTATTTGGTTCTGAGCAAAAACAATCACAATTGGCCCAAAATGGAAATATCCTACCAAAAACGCAGTCGCTGCTATATTCGAATGAGGTACGCAACCACGCCCCTCCATTTCCGAGATATGAGTGTATATAAGAAAAACAAAAGCGTGGCTAAAAAGTGTAAAATTGACTATTCTAGAGCAGTTTCGATTTCCGAAGAATCTTCTGGAAAGGACGAGGAGAGCATTCAGGGAAAAAATGGATTCAAGAACAAGCTTTGAAGAAAAACAGTTTATTACCGTACAAGTACATTTACAAACCACAGGCAATAATCAGCTGATTTTTAGAGCATGAAACATTCGCGAACATAGACAATCAATAGCAAAAAAATAAACTGATTGAGCAATTTGAAGTTATTATTAATTAAAAATAAAATAAAATATTTGTGTCTTTGCAGAATGCAAACTTGAAGAATACAACAACCTACTAGTATTGTAAAATCTTTGAGTTATGAGAGCTCTAATCTTTGAGTTATGAGAGCTTGCTTGCATTATTCCGCTCAAAGCAAACGACGACATTTTGACGCTTTCACATAACTCAAACATATATCAATGCTAGAAAAAATATCCATAGTAAAATGACAATCGATCGAAATCCCAGAGAGATCAAATGAGCTCGTATTAAACCGGTGACTAAATATAAGGTCGATTCACTTGGCACTTGGATAGTTGCCAAGTATTCGCTGCTAGTTTCTGTTCATATAACAGAAATTCAGAAACGGAAAGTGAAGCAAAGGAGCCACGACCTTGTAGACCATGTCATTTATCAAAACTGACTCCACACAGAAATTCACAACCAACGCTGCGGCTATCGCGGCGCTGTTCGGCTTGGGAGGGGCATTCTGCACTTTCGCTGGTTCCTTTTGCTAGATGATGTTAACTAACATGTCTCACTTTGGTAAAACCTTTAAACTCTTAAGAAGCTGCGAAGTGGTAAGGAACTTTAGGGACAGAACTTCACAGTTTTCGCATAGGTGGCCTATACAAGCCTCGCTGAGCACCAAGGTGTCCTGCCGAGCCGAACAGCGATGTCCATCGCTCTCAACAAATCCAAAAGGAATCGGTTTACAGCTCATTACAGTTGTGAATTCCAGCTCGCGGTTCAGTCAAAAGACCCTATTCTAGACAGCTAAACCCTGTTTCGGTGGCGTCAAATGCTGACACGGTACTGGTGGTGTGGGTCCACCAGGAACGCTGGGAAATGACGGCGGGTAGTTCGGTGGTGCACCTCCTTGCCAGCTCATCGCATCGCTTCTCATCATACCTGAAAAATGATGAAACTCTCTAAAACGAAACCAATCAAAAGAAAAATCACAGAGAACATTTCAAAAAAATATCACGAATTTTATTTCAAAAAGTTAAAGATAAAAAGTTAGAGTAACATTGGAGAATTCAAAAATTCTTTGAGCGATGCTAAGGCCTACGTTTGGGCGTAATATTTCCGAGCCGGGCCGACATAGACGTTGTAAGCGGGGTAACGCCAGCATTCGTACCAGGACCCAATTCACTTAACGTATCAGTCGGCTACAGCGCAAAACTCTCCTCTGCGGTCTACGGACAACTTGAACTCGATTTTGTGTTTTTCTCTGCTCCTCTCTCTCTCTCTCTCTCTCACCTCCGCGGGGCATTTTATGGACATTGGGACTTCGCACATTCCAGCTTTTCACGTATGATAAGTAGCTCATCCAACCAGGAGCCCCTCTACTTGAAGAAGTTCGTTTCCTGGCTCGTCATAGTTTCTTTCACGTCTCGATGCTTCAGCAAGCGCTGTCCTCTATATGCCTGCGTTTCTTGGCTACGCAACAGGACCATGCATAAAAGTTTAAGATCACACAGAACCCTCATCTGCATCTCACAGGTTGATTAGCACTGTTCGTTTCTGCCAAGTCAACTATCTAGGGAATATTCCATCTATCTAGGACCAGCCAGCCAATTAGATGATTTGAAGGTTAAAGAAGAGGGTTTCGGAGCCCATATCTGGTTAGAATCTGCAATTTTCGTTCCAAGTGTAGCAGAGCTCAAATGCTAAACTGGCAACCAAAGAATTCCAAAATGTTGCAAATATAATGGCTAGTTTCTAAAGCGATGAAGTAACCCAGGAGCAACACAGCCAGCAAGAAGCGTGTGCAGGTGGATAGCCCAGTCGGAATTTCATCAATTAAATCAAAATTTCAACAATACATATTCAAAAGACTTTCTGCAACACGTTTTATCCAGCCATCATAGACATTATCGTGAGCTTTAGATCTGAAATGACATCAAAGCGCAACACACCTGGATTGGATGGCATTCCTGGACCACCTGGCATCATTCCACTCGGCGGAAATGGGTACGGTGGAGGTGGGACCATTCCCTTAAAAGCAGAACGTCAGCCAATCAGTTCAACGCAAAATTTTCTTCCACTAATCGAACTTATTTGCATAAAAATAAACATTATTACTTAAAGGCATGTCGGACGATTTACATAAGAGGCGGACTGTATACAAGGTGAGTAGATGCGCCATGCTACGCTCAGTTAGCGCATGAGTAAGTGAGCGAAACCAGTGTACTATCCAAACGTAGCCAGCGCTAGCAACTAGTAGGGGAACACAAGGCCCTTGAAATGACGTAAGGGTCAAAATGTTGGCCAAATGAAGCTGTCCGCCTAATAAAATAGAAGAACATGAAAGAACATCCGGCTATGGCAACCCTTCAGCATTGCTGCCACGTTTTCCGGGCGATAATGGCGGCCTCTTTACCTGCTATTCACCTCGCACATGGAGAGAATCCATCACCCAGAAGACTCTTCAATGTATTTAAGGCTGCGTGCGTGAGGGTTCATTGTCTTAGCGAGAGGGAGCAGAGAAGTATATGCCGATGCCCCTCCCCACCCTGGCCTCAGGATATTTATCAAGCGCGACGCTTTCTTCCTGCTTCCTTTTTAACTCTTTCTATCATTCCTTTTGCTCATTTTCCTCCCATCAAATGCCCGGCCAGAAGATGCCATGATAAAATACTTCTGGATCTTCTTAAGGAGCCTTGTAATCCCTCCCCCTACAACCTTCGCCTCGATTCCTTTTTCATTGGCCAAGGATGTTCAGGGGTAATCGCTTGAAGTAGTGCTTAATGTATTATACGTATTACAAAACTCCAAAAAAGACATTATTTGTCTTCTACGTCACACACTTCACATTGAGAACCCTTGTATGAAAAATTATTGGATTCCCATGCGAAAGCTCTTCTTCCCAACCACAGACACAATATTTATTTAATATTCTTTACATGTACTGCATTTTCATACATTTATAATCACATGACACTATGCAAAATGCAATAATGGCACCAATACCCGCAGGCCTCCTGCTGAAATCCTAAGCTCCCCTTAAGCATCAAATTTGACTAAATAAAGCTACCGGACGTTCTTATACACTTCACAGGACTCAGCTGAGGTCACGGTCACGCCGTCGCCCATGGAAGCGTAAGGACCTATTACATTTGAGGGGTACACAGTTTACCCGAGTGCGAAATTGGCGCTTCGACTTGGAGGGACATTTCACACTTTCATTTGTTGGTACATGTTAACTAACAGGTTTCTCTTCAGTCAGACTTGTAGACTCCTGTAAAGCTGGGAAATTATCTTAGTGAGGCGTTCTGGTCAGGAGAATTTACAGGATCTCACGAAGTGGACCCCAACAATGTTCATTGGTACCATTTGGAGCTCCCACCAAGCAGAACTACTCTGGGAGTGGGCGACAAAACCAAGATTCCCGTCAATTCACGACGTTCATCAGCACTGACAAAATTTATGACAAAAAAAATTTCGAAAAAAAAGACTCAAAATGAAGAATTTCCTTACCTTTGTCATGCCCGGATGTCCATATGGCATCTGTGCATACGGATGCGGAGGGAAAGGAGTCGGATAGAACGGACTCGCGGACGGTGAGTGTCCTGGCATAGGAAACCCTAACCGACTGGGATCACCCGGATATCCTGGTCCCGGCACTGGCGACTGCATACCGGCAGATGCTAAATTTATAAAATGATCATGCCTTCTTCAATTTCCTCGTATAAAACTCAAACAACTCTCCTACCTCTAGCAGCCATCATATGAGCGTACATCGGGTGATGTGGGCTCATTCCCGGAGGCGGTGCAGCGCCTTTGAAAGCCAGCGGATCTCCAATATACGCCGGAGATGGGATCTGAGAGTTCCCGGGGGCCGACATGGGATAACCTTAACGTCAGCTATAATTTCACCTGGTCTAAAAGGTGACAGTAACATTAGTTTCATTAGTGGTACCTGGAGGGAAAGATGTTCCATTGGGATAACCTTGCGGATAGCCCATACTTCCCATCGGATACGGAGCCGAACCAGGTGGATATCGCGTCGGGAAGGAACTCATGGGATACAAAGTTCCCTGAGGCCCTGAATAAATAAAAATTATTTCAATTCCACTTGCTCATCTTGTGGTTTGAGAGAAACTGACCTGGGGCTGGAGCTCGAGGGTACATCGGGGAAGGATATGGTGAAAGTCCTTGGGTATTCATGAGTTTCTTCATCTAAAGTATAAGAAAATAAATCCCAACAACGTACTTATGCACAAATGGTCGATAAAATATTCAAACCTCGTGCGCTTGCACTTCCTTTTCCCATTCGACACGTAACCTTTCAGCTTCAACTTGCCGCTCCATCTCGCCAAGTTTCTCTAATTTCATCGAACGCTCGTCTCTGAACACCATTTTTGCAGCGGGGCTGATTGAAATGTTGGCAAAAAATAAAAACTTTCACCCATCATTAAAACACGTCCGGAGTTTGGATGTTCAATTGGACATAGTAGTTCTGCCGGCCGAAAGCAGGACTACTACGTCCAACAGGGAAGCATTACTTTCGCAGCTAAAAAACATGTGAGAGCGCGTTCAGACTTCGCGATCGCTCTACTGTGGATTGAAATTCACACCGGGAGGGAAGGGTCATGTTTTCTTCATGTTTTGAACAGGAAAAGTGAACAGGAAAACGAAACTAAACGATGACCTGTTCCTTCCGGTGATGAATTTCACCCACAGCAGCGCGATCGGATCGCGCGATCACAGCGATCGCGCGACCCAAATCGCGCGATCCGGATCGTGCGATCGCGAAGTCTGAACGCGCCCTGAGGAAAACGCCACCCGTTCGCGATGGGACCACAGCTCCGCCCAATGGCCACAGCGACGCCCAACTATCATTTTCAACTGCAACCTGATGGTGCGATTGTCCCACTCTCTCTACATTTCGAATGGTGAGAGTGAGTTGATGAGGAGAAAGAGTTGGCACCAACAAGTGAGAACTCGTCCTGTAACGCCCCTTCTTCGCCTTATACACCTACAAGAGCAGCAACAGGGGCTTTATATGGAGCACCAAGAGTGAGTTTTAGCCATTTTCCTATTCATTTTTGTGTTATGTGCCATCTTGTCAAAAGTATTTGACCTGCGCAACTCTCCTTTTTTGAACCCGGAAAGTGCCTTTAAATAAAAGCAACCGCTTTCCTTCACTTACTTCTTACAAAGTCCGTTTGCGGGCGCCTCTACAACATCGTTAATACTCGACGACGTGCTGAACGCCGACGAATTTGTCATCATTTCCATTCTCCTTAAGAAAGTTTTATAAATTTCAGGGAAGTATGCCCTCCTAAAGTCAAATTTACCTTAACGGCGTTTCTTCAACCTTTTTCGTGGAAACATCTGGAGCACTCAAATCCATATAAGTGGGCTTTTTGGATACTTGATCCTCAGGATCGCTCTGAAATTGTAGCACTCGGTAAAAGGATATTCATGACGCTGGTTCTGAAGAAAAAAATAGAAAGGATCACACTTTCTGGAGTACCTAATGAGTGGTAATATGGCTAGCCGTTTTCGCATGCGGTTCAAGAAGTGTGAACTTCGGGGGACTTCTTGCCGTTGTGGGATATTTGCAGGGTAGGACTCCCCCATGAGTTTCTTCTATTGTACGACCCCCTTCCCCATCCCCCATTCTGAGAAAGGGCCGGGGAAGGGAGGGGGTGGAGATAGGGCATTCATGGCTCACATGAAACAGGAAAAACCGAGGAAAGTCAGCAACTGGACACATTCTTCTGAAAAGCGGACACGACCCTCCTTCCTTCAGCGAGCAAATGCAACCCCTCGCTGGACCTGCCCTGATGTGAATCGCAGTACTGAGCGCGAACCTGCTAGCATTCCTTGTTAGTTGACTTGACAATGCGATTTGAAATCCAATCAGAAATGTCATGAGGTCTATTCTATATCCTATATCATTTATTTCATGATCTTATGTTAAGCGTTTCACAGTTACTGTCAAGATCCCTGCGAACGATAGGGCGTGCAACGCGGCGCGGCTGCACTCGGCCAGGGCTCTCTTTTCTACCAGTGATGTATTCTGAGCCCGCTACAGCTTAGGAAATCTAATTTGGCTGTGCTCCGCTGACGCCACCGTCACACGATCTATTGTTTGCAGGGATCATGGCTGCTAACTTCATTTTCAAATTTTATAAATCACTGAATGAATGAATATCATTTTGTTTTTTGAAACAGTTGAATAATGAAAGTGACAAAGATCTTAAATCGTAAAAGGAAAGAAACAACTGATCAAATGCGACTTCTCGAGATCTGGTTGTGAAATATGTCATGACATAATTGATTAGACTCCAGAGCAATATGCCAGTAATACTGGTTATCTAGCTAGGGATGCTGGTTTGCTCACGCTGTTGCACTAAACTGTAAATTTCGGAGAAGAGGCAGATACAGTACCCCAACATGCGCGTGAAACTGAGTGCTTAGCAGCCGAGAGCACAGAGCACTACTTCGCTTTCGCCTAAACAGCCCCTGGCTCCAGATTCCTGGACTTACCCAGGATCTTTATCCATCCTCGATTATGGCAAGCGCAAATGGGTGCATCCACAGAGCAGACACTTAAACTACGCGCAATTTCGGGAGATACTGTGTCCCCCCACTTTTTCCTAAGGCCGCGTTCATACATGACGACGTTGCAGAAATGACGAAATTGCAGACAGGAAATGTATACGTATCGATCTGAAAACCGCATTTCTCCTATTCCGCGGAATTTGCAGAAATGCCGAAATGACGGACAAAGAAGTGATAGGGATCGACCGCTTGGTTCCAGCCGTCGTGCGGAAATGGGAGAAATGCAGAATCTGCAAAATACGCATCAACCTGCTTTCCTCGTTTCCGCCGGAATACTGCCAGAAATGCCGAAATCGACGGACGACGACCTGATAGGGATTGACGTGCCGTTAGTGGCCTCACCAGCGACAATTTCTGCATTTGCGCGGCATTTCTGCACACTCCGTATGACTGCAAATCCCGGGGTTTTTGAAATCGATAGACATATTTTCTTTTTCTGCAAGTTCCGCGGTTCTTCCAATTCCGCAGCGTCTGCAAATTCCGCAGTTCTGCACATTCCGTGTTCTGCATTTATGCATCGATGTTATGAACGTGGCCTAACTTCAGTAATCTTGGTAGATTGTATGTGCGACTTGAATCTTCAGAACTAAACTGACTCATTTCTTCTGATGATAGAACCAAGTATTCATCGTTTTCGTCTTAAAACATGAGAAACATTGGAATCCGCCATTTGAAACTAATAGCTTTACACATAAATAAAAAGTCCACATGACGGGTCATACCTCTGCCTTTCGTTTCTCTGGCTTCCTCTCTGACGTGTCAACTGGGGTCGACTCCGTTGATACCGAGCTGGACGCCTTTTCCGATACCACATCGTCAGCATTTCGCTCGGCTTCTTTGCGCTTACGATACTTTATATGCCATTCGAGAAGGCTGTCAAAACGCTCTTTTTCAAAATCCAATGCAGCCTGGTTGGCCAACTCCGTCCTGCAAAAAAAGGGTCTCAATAGTGCGATGATGAATGTGAGCAGGCAGCAGGAGGACGACTCATCCTCCTCACTGCATTGATGACGACATGTGACGCACGTAAAAAACACAAAATCTTTGCCAGCGGTTTCCGACGGCGACGTTGCTTCCTGGGACGATGGTACTGAACGAGCTAACGCTGGTGATGGATGGCACGGGGAGTTCAGCTGGAAAACACCTATTTATGGAATGCAGATACCTCAGAAATGTCTAATCAGGCCTGTAAAGAGAAAAGATCGAAAAAGGTCATAGCAAGGCGAGAAAAGGATCCTCCAGCTCAAAACCAGATATAGTCAGCGTGAAAAAGGATCATGACCGATATAACAGAGTGAAAGACGTCGGGATAAGCGAACCAGAGGAAAGGTGCATTCGAGTGGAAAACCATTGCAGTCTTTTTCACACAAAAGAGTTACGCGAACTAAAGCCCCTTCCCTACGTTTAGGGAAACTTCATCTTCACTGCGGCGGCCCCGTATTACAATAGTAAAACCCCTTGCAGCTCCCCTCCTTTAGGGCAATTGCGTCAAAGTGTCATTTCTTTCCAAACGGTTTTTCCCATAGGGTACTTGCGCTTAAGGTAACAGAAACTTTTACAGGGCACTTCCTATCGCTCGAAGAAAATTTTCGTGGGACCTGTCACCTCTTCCAGGTTTCCTCCTCAGGTACGATTCACATCCCTATGCCACCTGACATGCTCCTTAGTTTTCAAGATTCCAACTTTTCCCAGGAATTGCCTGTTTTCTCCCAGCATTTGGCCGTCAAGGAAGGGCGAGGGGGGGGGTGGCAGGAATAGGGGGTAGGTCTCCACCAACCAACTATTAAATTCAACTTCTTCAGCTATCGAAAACCGGGGAAAACCGCGAAAAGTCCACAACCAGGATAACGTCGCACCAGAAAAAACTTAGGCCTAAATAAATAATACCTCCTCTGCTGCAACCAAACGACCCCTGTCCCCCTAAGATTTCCCGGTGTACGCCTGGTCCTGTACCCCCTTACCGATTCACAGGTTCTACTCGGACCAAAACCGAATATTCTATTTCCCTGGAGTAGCCTATCTGGTTATAAGTTTGACTATGAGCTTTGGCGCTGGCTTCGACCGCTATCAAACCATTGTATAGGGCATACTCATCACTGGATACTTTATCATTCCCAATAAAAGTCAAATTTAGGTGCAAATCGAAAGAGGGGGCGGGGTATAACTGCCTCAAAAGAAAAATGAGAAATGTTAACTTACTGGCAGTGTTGTCTCATTGGCTGTGCTGGTTGACGGCTGCGGTTCGCATTTTACATTCGCATATGGCGAGAAATTTGACATTATTGTTGCAATTAGTAATTTAGTAGGTTAGTAAATTTGCAGAACGATGAAAACGCCAGGCTTAATAATCACGAAATTTGCATATCAGCCGCTATCTGAAACAATAAACTTTCATTTTTTTCACCAGAATCATACCCTGAGAAACAAGGGAACAATCGCGAATGAGAACAAAAAACGAAAAATCGGAGGCTATCAGGAGAACAAGTAGAAAAACCAAGGTAAAGTAACGTTTAGCAGTTGAGAAGCAGTTAATGTATTTATGCGAAAGAACACTTGGGAGGCGGCGGATACACAATCAATCACAACACCATGAGTCGCGGTGAAATTGTAAAGAACGACGAGAGCTGAGAGGAGAGGCTTCCGGAGAGAAAGGCCAATTGTCTTATGAATTCGATTGCAGCCCGGCACAGCTTGCCAGGAATTATTGCTATTGATTATCAGTTAATCAAGCCGGTCAGCAGAAATCCATCTGAAAGGATTTCTAAGAGGGTTTTTCTAATGCCAAGTGGCTAACGTCGGAAGAAATAGACGTCATTTCGCTCCCCATGTCGGGAAACGACGCTGGCGCTCTCGCGGCCAGCCAAGTGCTTACATTATTACAACCAAGTTCGCGCGGCACCATCGCTTTATGACTTGCTAGCAATCGGCCGCTGATAAACCGAACGAATAGCTGCGAATTGCTTTTCACTCTCAACACTTCCCTTAATATATTGCTCCTAAATATTCCCCGAGTAATACACAACGACCATTACTGTGATTCAACGAAATTTTTGCCCTGAAAAGAAAGACAAAAGGGCAAAAGGAATTGCACTCCATATGAACTTCATATCTGTGAATAAAGCATTGGAAAAGGAGATGTCTGTGAATACAACTGTAATGCGGCAAAACTTTTGAAAAAATTCTCCGATATGTGGGCGGAGTCGTCGGAGGCGGAGTGTATCACGATATAATAGTCTATTCAACAGTGTATATGTGTGACATAGTGAAACTGTGAAAAACTAGTGTAGCCAGAATTTACTGAATATAATGAGGGTAATTGTCAATTACGTTCGTGGCACAAAGTGGTCGGGGCTATCCAGGGCGCTAGAGCGTGCGATTCTTCCCGCCCCGATAGCCACGCCCCTTTTTACCGCGACTAGGAAAAAGAAAGTAGACAAGAGGGAATCATTTTGTTGAAACAGATTCCTTCGTTATTAGCTTGTCCTCTAATATGTGGGCGGAGTCAAAAGTATCACTATGTGGAAGTTCGTTCAACAATGTATCGTGAAATTAAGAAAACTAAGGTAAATAGGACTTAAATAAATAGGGTACAATGTGTGGCCTGCAAAAGTAAGTTAAGTTTGCGGGTAAAAAGGAGCACCGCTATCTGAGGCGGAAAGGTGGGTGATTACTCCGGCATCAGATCACCACGCCCTTTTTGCCGCGTTTACCACGAAAAGATAAGTAGTTGAACAAGACGCCATTCTAACTGAAACAGATTCCTCCGTTAATATCCTTGCCAATTTACATGGGCGGAGTATTCCGGGACGGAGTCAAAAGTGACATACAAGAGTCCCTTCAACATTGTTTACGAGTGATATGCTGAAATGCTGAAATTGTGAGAAACTAGTGTAATTTTACTTATGAAGTATAGTGTGTGTAATGTAAATCATGTTAGCGGCAGAAAGGGGCGTGGCTATCTGGTGCGCGGGTGTGAGCAAGTCCTCCCGCCTCAGACAGCTACACCCCTTTCACTGCGACTTCTACAAGAAGAAAAGCAGTTCGACAAGGGGAATCCTCTGTTAAAGCAGATTCCTTCGCTACTAGCAAAAAAATGGAGCAAGCACGGGGAAAAACATCGATTAGAAGTCCTAAGTGCAACAATCGAGCAAAATAGTGTATCGTCAACAGAACAGATTCTTTTATAAAAACTTCATTCTAAGCAGAATTATGATACTAATGGGAGGAGCCCTCAACACGTCGTGGCGCTTTTTTATTTGGATGTCAAGCGGTCGACCCCAAGACTCTAAATGGCCCTCACGTCTGCCGAAGAACTGGAACTTCATTCCCAAGGTCGTTTTACCGTGGCTATCCTTGTCAGGAACACTTGCTGTCGCGCCACAGTTTACCACACGAAGTCTTCAAAGTACTGGCAAATAAAGTTCGGCGCAGTTCGATTCGTTGGGGGTATCGAAGGGTACCTGGCGAAGCTTGTTCAGACCAGCTTGTGAGAACTTGTGAAGTCCTGTGACCAAAGCAGTTCACTCGCACCATTACGCAACTGCATAGAAGTTGGCAGGTCTTACGAGAGTGAGGTCTGTTATTTGACATGGACAACAAAAGGAACCTCGAAAGTGCATAATGCCCCCATCCTAGCCGATCAGTGCCTGGAATTCACCGCGCTCTTAGATTTGCGGTCAGACTCCACGGGCTTGCCAGTGGGCAAATTCAACCAGTATCCTCCCCATCTCTCACGTCAGAGGTGCAGCCCCTCTCAGAAGGCAACTAAACTACCCCCAAATTTTGGGTTACTTTGAGAAACTCGATCTGAGAAATGCCGCAACTTCAGTTCACAAAGGCAACTTCCCAAAGACTGAAAACCAGCAGTTCTCGTGCCGTCGCAGAACGTGTTACATCATAACCTGGTAGAGGGAGAAAAACAGCAAAATTGTCTGTTACAATGCAGAATACATGAATGTTGTTGAAATATTTCCGAAATGTAAAACGGAACGGATGAGCAAAACGAACAATGAGAAAAATTCCAAAAAAATTGACAACCTGGAAATTTCAAGAACTCTCAGTTCACACGAATAATACATGCCGGCTGCAAAACGCCAAGGCATTGGTTATGTTGCAGATTCGAACATTCGAATTGATTCATACAGAATTCTACGCGGAAGTGATTCTCCATTGTAATTCTAAAGGTTCCAGATGGGCAACGTTCCCCATTTTTGTAAGTCAGTCATCTTGAAAACACTTCCCCAGATATTATAAAAAAAGCGTAGACGTCCCAGGAAAGACGGGAGAAAAGCTAAAAACAGTTGCGTTTCAAAGGGAATACCAGTCTTGCTCTAATGTTACACTCCTGTTTTTCTTCTTTTTCGCTCGTCGAAGGCATCTCGTGCCCCTAATTCCCTCACCTTCCGCAGGACCGTCGTAAATGACAACGATGAAGGTAAATTCCGCGATTCCATATCGTAGATAATGGCATTTAATGAGGAACTTATAGTCGCTAAGTGACTCTCCAGGGAAGAAAAACGAAAAGAAACTATGGAGAACACCCTAAGTAAGGAAATGGCATCCTCTGCTGATTTTCCTGAATTGCTCGCTTTATGCCAGCAAAGCGATGTCCTCTCGCCTCTGGCTCCTACTAATCGTTTCCAACCGCGTTTAGCAACGACAAACAAAACAAAAAAGAGAAACATGGTTCAAAAGCGAACTTGGCCTGAAAACAACCTTCGAGTTCTAGTGGGCGGGCCAAATAGGGAGGCGTCGTAACTGCGTCATGGGTCGTTACTTACTGTAAGGCCAATTCTCAGAGACTGGGGACCAGACCACTTGAATAAGGGAGCACGCTCACGATTTGGTTAACCTTTTTAAGCACAGGGTTCTTGAGTGAAAACCCACCGATCTTTCACTTCCTAGGACCTGAGGGAGGCGAGAAAGCCGAAGCGGTAGGCCAAGTAAAGCATCATGTCATCTTTGTTGCGGCTACAAAAAAGCAATGATGCTAAGAGCATAGGGTCCATAGCTCCACTATTCCGCAAGGTCTTCCCGTCTTGTATTCCGAACAAACTCCCAACTTCATGCAACAATATCTCTCGAGTCCTGAGCCCCTCCCAGGTCAACTACTGGGAAATCTGGGTCCAGAGAGCAGACAGTCAAGAAAGCGGTTTCTTCCCTGAATGAAATTTTTCACTAGGGCACCCCCAGGAAGCTATACGTGAGGCTTCTGTGCAACAAAAGGCTCAAAAGGCTTTTGAAAAGAAGTTTTACTATTCGCTGATCTGAAGAACGGCTTACGACCCGAAACGTTGTCGCCTAAAGTATGAGAAAGTTCTGTTGGAAGTGTTCTCGAGAAATCACACCACAGCACCTATCAACACAAGAATGCAGAGTTATTCAAAAGTCTTGACCCCAGGTGGGACTCAAACCGGCACCTCACGCTTTCCGGGCGAATGTGCCGTTCGTTACGCCGCTAACCGTAATCATAATCGGCCGTGAGGTCGAAGGTTTTCCTCAGATTTGAGTCTGCTTCATTATGATAACTGTTGTTTGACGCTGCAGCTCGCACTCTGGGAAGTCGAGCCGCCTAAGGTCTGATTTTTGCCCATAACTCGGCATTCTCCTGAAACTCTGAGCGCACACTGCGGCGTTAAACAGTGGTTAACGTGATTAAATACCTTTAAGAACTTTTACGATGGCTCTGATATTACTACTACTCGCGTTTTGTCACTGAAATAGTCACACGCACAAGGAGTAGAACTGAAGTTGCGATGAGAAGGCGACTGACGTAGACAATCACTTCATCAGCGGTCGGTGCACACCAACCAAACGCCATTGGTGATAACAAGAAAACCAGATGAAACATAGCCTTCGCTGTTGAGCGGCCGAATCACCGGAATGAATGAAGAGACGAAATGAGAACGCGACTTCATAAGAGCCGAAGTGGTCGCTCCATTAACAAAAAACTATTCGTACAGCACGCGCAGAACGAGGGGCGAAAAAGAAACTCAATCGGAGAAACCTACGGCGGGGCGCGATCGCCGTACGAGATATACGGGGATGGGGAGGAAAACGAACGACGACCCGTACTCGCTACGTACGACCATTTTAACTCAAATACGAACGTAAAATTGGATAAAAATAGGACATGACACAACGACAATTACATCTCTCAAATCGTCAGGTCTCAAGCAACGAAATATGCAAAAATGAATACTGAATGAATCAAATCAATAAACATGTGATCGGCGAGAAACATTATTACGCAGCTGTGCCAAAATCGAAAAAAAGAGGAAATAAAAAGAGAAAAAAGGGGCACTATTTAACTATCACTACCCCGGTTTTCCAAAATCGGCCAGTTTTTTACCGACTCTTTTTCTATAAGGGCAGATTTGGCTGGAAGTTTGTATCCAGGGGTACTTCGATCTCCTAAACACGAGTATCAGATCCGCTTGGCTTCAACTGCCTAGTGCCACCGTAACAGGCGTTCTGCTGCTGCCTCTTGCTCCGCCGGGAAGTTTGGTTTCCTGAACATGACAGTCACTTTCGTTTGGCCTGAAACCGCCTGGTGTGCGCGCCACAAGCGCTGGCGCCAAAGTTTTCTTCGAGCACCAAAATCGATGAACGCTGTATAGGGGTTATTTGACATACTGATCACGAACACGACATTCCTTCTTAGTTCCCCGCCAATAATGTGCACCAGATTATCTGTCTCTGCTAAGGCTGAGCCTGGCCTGAAGGGATACTCGTTCTCCCAGGCTGAGCCCAAGTAGAGCTAGGCGCTAAATCGAAAAATGAATGTCACATTTGTGATTAGGGTATCGAACCATCTATTATGCGAGTTTCCACCGATTTTTATAAAAAAGGGTGGCGCCAAATCGGCGCCCAATGGCGCCAGAACTTAAAATGAATGTCGTGTACGTGAGCACAGCAATGAATAACCCGTGGACGAGGTTTCAGCAAATTTTTTTCTCAGAGTTTTTTGGGGTAGTAGTAGTTGAATAGTACCGAAACAGAAACTACTACGTGCACTATAACGTCGTAAAAGCGTAAAAAACGAAATAGCCCTGCCGGAAAAACTTCGTTGGAACCTACCTGACGAAACAATCGAAGAGATAGAAGTGGGTGGGTGCAGTCAGTTAGCAATGTCACTCGGCACGCGGCTACAAATGGCCTTCGAGAACACCCGAACCACACACACACACACACACACGCACACACCCTAGACGACTGAAAAGATAAGCGCAAATCGTAGCAGCGCCATCACCATCACAGCGCGATGACAACGACTACGAAAACCCCTCCTAATGAGGAGGAAACACCTGATGGCATTGAACGATTTGAGCGCGTAGTGTGACCAACACTTCGCAAATAAAAACCTATACGCAAGCAACTCTTGCAAACAGCCAGTGTTAACTTTTCAAAAACTAGTAATTTCCAGACATAACTATGCAAATATTCAGATATTCAACTGCAGAAAGCAGCTGGAAACACATCCATTCAACAAGCTATAAACCATCATTTACTAGCCTTCAAGAAAAACAAACAAGTGGAGTGCGCTCATACTTTGCGTCAGCGTCTTGAGCGTATGGTAGCGCTCTGAGCAACTAGGATGGTACAACTATCGATCTCGTGTTTACTCCAGCGTTTTGAATTCCTCGCGGGCAGACGCTGGAAACGCTGAGTACGCTAGAAACAACGAATCGATATCTATACTTTCTAGTCGCTCAAGACGCTGTCATGCGCTAGCGTGCGCTCGATCGATAACTACACTTTCTTAGTCGCTCAAAACGCTGACGCAAAGTATGAACGAAGCCTTAAAAACATAACAACTATATACCTTTCCGAATGCGTAACAAAGTGATGACCTAAAAGCGTCAGGTTAACAGAACAGGACTTATTCAAAGCCTCTTTCACTCTTTTCAACAGCGTCGTACAACATCTGAGCGACATCGCACACAAGTCTGTCTTGCAGTAGATTGCCTATCAGTTGAACTCCAATAGGTAAACCATCCGTACTGGACCCAACTGGGACCGAAATAGCAGGCAATCCTACAAAAAAAACTACCTCAGAGCTAGCTTGCCTCAAATGGAGTCACAACAGTCATCTTGAGCATTTTCAAATCTTCATTATTACAGTCTTGCTCACAGCGAATGAAGGGGCATGTCAAGTGATATTTGGTGCGGCGCCAAACCCGTTCTCTACCTGTTGTTGAAACGAGCACGCGACAAGACTGTCTGCATAATATCGTTCATATCAGTCGCTAACTGTTGTCGCTTACCCGCTTCAATAACTGCGGGAGAAAGGGTTTGGCGCCGCGCCAAAGATATCCCACCTGACACCAGACATGCCCTTCATCCGCACCGAACAAAACTATAAATGGGCGAGTTTGGTGTAATTATGATATTTTGGTATGCCCACGTAAGCTAACGTCTATGAATCAATATCTTGAAACGTTCTGATCTTCTAATAAGCGAGATAGACAGCCCGGCGCCTCTTTCCACAGCACTACCATAGCACTAGAAGGCAAACCACAAGAAATAGGAAATCTGACTAATTAAGTTCTTGAGAGTCTGGACTGGATCACTCAACAAGTTGATTCCCTGTTGGGAGCGGTCGAGGTGACGCCACAAATCAGGCTTCGTCCTTCGACCTTCGAAAGATGTATCCCCTCGACCCGACCTTATTCGTCAACCCAGTACATGGAGAGAGGTTGCGAAAAAAGGAGTACAAAGCGTTGACGAAACTTTTAGACGGATTACCATCGATTTGGCTGACAGCACCACCTTTTAACAAGTATTTTAAGAAAAAGGAGGAGAAAGGAAGGGTTAAAATGATGAATTTACGGGACATCTGTTCCTTTCTGTGACCCTAAAAACCATACGAACATCATTCAATAAGTGTTTCATCCTCTACAAGTATCCTGCGGACTATGCTACGCCCATTAATTCAAAGGAGTAGCGGCGGTCCGCAGGAACCGAACCATCCAAAAAAAACTCCTTGCGCAAAACTATGCAAAACTGGGATCACCGTAATGCAGCAAAGTCCCTTTCATCAGAGACTCCGATCCACCCATATCGGAACTCATTCCCATAAGTTGAAGTGAAAATCCACTTTTGCATTATCTAGTTCGACACAAGAAATTATTTTATGCCCCCACCAAGCGATATCGCAATTTTTGGGAGTTTCTAGCTCAAATTCAACTTCTTGTGAAAAAACCGGACCAGAGTAAACGTATCAATTGCGTGAGGCAGTTTCCGTATCCGTATCAAGATTAGGCCTTACGTAGAAACTAGAATCGCTGGCGACATATGAGGCGCAACCAAAGGCACCCAGAAATGCCTGCATGCTAAGAATCATCTGCAAAGTGCAGCAGACACGCCTTGCAATGCAATAAAATCGTATGGAATAATCAGTGAACACCTTGCGCTAGGCATTAATTTAGAACATTAAGACTATAGGAGAGTGGCGAAAGGTCCGGTTCGCAATGAAAGTAGGGGAGGGGGAGCAATCCCGATCATACTAATCTAGAAGGAGCCTGGTTCACAGTGAAAGAGGATAATCCTGCTAATCCAGAGTAGTTACCATACTGAGTTACATACTGACTATTGCATAAAGCTTGCCTTCACCCGACACCTGACACAGGCCAAAAGGTTCTCTAAAATAGCACAGGACCCCACCAACGAGAGAGACAAATGCCAATGGTCGAGAAGAAAAATCCAGAGAGATTAAAATAGTAATGTTTACCAGCAAGATTAGCCGGTTGTGTGTAGAAGTCATCATGATCCTCGCGCTTGTAGAAACCTTTGTAATGATCCGAGAATCGAGGAGCAGCTCCTGTCGCGGTGGGCGTTAAAAGCAAATCCACATTCTTTAGAACGTCATACATTTCTGTCGCAATAACTTTACGAACTTTCAGTGCGCGATCGTAGAATTCTTTCCTGTGCCTAAATTACGAACAGTAAGTAATACATAATAAAAACATGAATGAAGGGAAAGGAGACCTAGGAAGAAAAAAGGGACTTTCAGCGAGATAATTGCTGTCCTTCCCCCGATTCTTCTTTACGGTATCACTGCGCACTCACAGGGAATGGTTTGAACTTCCCATGGAACTTTGAATGGAGACCTAGGTACATCGATAGAGCCTCGAATGCTGATTACGAATATGCAGATTAAAAGTGCTACGGGACCTCCCAGACGAGTTCTGGGCGGTCAAAGTTTGCGAAAACTCGGTTTTGTCTCGTAAGCGCTGCTGATCGGTCATTGGGCAGTGCCACCGTGGCCTAGTGGTAATGGTCTCGCTTCAAAGCCAAATGCTCGTGGGTTTGCATCCCGTTGGCGCGAAATTTTTGCTTCGTCTCCTATAAGAGCTTTCACTCTAATTTTCGAAATTCCTCCGAGTTTACGGCCCAGCAGAGCAAGTAGATCAAGTAGATCAAGTATTGACGTACTCGATCAAGTATGGATTTGGTCGCTATCTGTCCTCTCTGAACTCATTACCCATCCGACAATTCGAAGTTTTGGCCAGAAACTCGTTCCTGGGGTATTTTGACCCCCTGAAAACGAATATCATATTCGTTTGGCGAGAAAACGCTTGTAGCCCTTCACGTTGTTGTGGTCATCAACTGAACGAGAAAACCAATCGTTTTCGCCGTGAACACGAAGAATTTCGAAAATCAGAGTTGAAGCTCTTATAGGAGACGAAGCAAAAATTTTTGCGCCAACGGGATGCAAACCCGTGAGCATTTGGCTTTGAAGCGAGACCATTACCACTAGGCCACGGTGGCACTGCCCAATGACCGATCAGCAGCGCTTACGAGACAAAACCGAGTTTTCGCAAACTTTGACCGCCCAGAACTCGTCTCCGTAGCACTTTTAATCTGCATATTCGTAATCAGCATTCGAGACTCTATCGATGTACCTAGGTCTGAGTTCCATGGGATGTTCAAACGCATTCCCTTGTCAGGACGCGTTCATACTCCGCGATTCGGACCGCTTGTCTCGCCGACCAGATCGCGCGACCACGATCGGAGGCACTCCAACAACATCCAGTAGGTGAACTGACGCAACGGCAGAATTTGAGTTGCGTTCATTTACTGCATGAATTTCGAGCAATTTGATCGCACGATTCCAGCGATAGGTGGGCAAAACTCTTGACTTCAAGCGGAACTCGAACACGCACTTCACGCTTTCCAGACGAATGGGTTATCCGTTGCGCCATCAAGGCCTCCTCTGATATTTTCTGCTTGATAGCCTTCATATCAGAGCCCCAAAGCACTCATAAGTCCGACGTGATTGGGAAAACCACCCAATCCTCTGACTCGGCGTTTTTCCAGGTTTTCCATTCCTCCGGCGTCGCAATGTATGAACGTGGCCCCACTTTGCGACAACGTTCACTTTTTGCAGCTCAGAAGAACAGGAGAACAGATCGACTTCCATATACTCCTTTGCGGCCTATTCTGCTCCTTTCCTAATCCGCCACATCAAATACCCGTTCTTTCCTTGAGCGCACATTGTCCCACTCTTCCGAATCGCAAAGTATGAACGTCTCCTCACAACACTGGTGGCTGGTCTCCTCTCAACACGGTGGCTGGGTAAACTGGAAAAATTGTTCCACAAATCCTTCTAGGAAAATGGAAACATATTTCTATAAAAGGCGAAAACTGGCACACTTGATAAAGTAACCACATTGAAACTTACTCTCTCATAAGAAAATAATTTCCAGCCATAATTCTCGCCTTTACGACACTATTCAGTGATTCACTTCGCGTAGACGCATATAAATCAAAAGTCGAAGTTTCATTCTTCGAGCGATGACCAAAACCTATACCAACATAGCTGAAAAGAACAAATATTTTACAGAAATCGTTTTTATTTGCAGTCTCTGTTCCTCAAAACCTCTCCAGACGCAGTTCGGCTTAGGGGGGGGGGGGACAAGGAGAATATTGCACTTTCGCGTGAAGCCATGAAGTGACAGCGGTCGAAGTATATAGCTTGTAAAGCAATCTATACGACAGTGCGAAGTAGCGAAAACGCAAAATGTCCCCTCTCCCCTCCCTCCCGAAGCCGAACTACGGCCCCATCTGCGTTTTCAATCGAGAATCGGAGCGGAGGAAAACAAAAAAAATGAGGACCGTAGCGAAGTGAAATCACAGCACTATGGAACAAGGGAACTAATGAGGCAGGTAGTGATGTGAAATTCCTCAGAAATTAGGGAGGGAGGGGCTGGAGAAGAGAGGGCCCCAACACTTTACAGAAACGTAGATCTACTCACCGAGCCATATTGGACACAATATCTGCCGCAGAAAGGACCTGATAGCACAGCAACGAGTATTTTGTATGTGGTAGCGAAACCTGCGCAATTGTAGCGCCTTGCTTCTGCAACACATTGGCCGCATGGTTCCAGACGGCCCAAGCTTCATCCGACAGGAACTCATTATAATACTCCTGGAAATACGGCTCGTCAGTACTTATTGAACAGATGATAATGTGTAGTTTCTTAAGATAGTTCAACTTTTCGGTTACAGGGCTACTGTCAACCGCATGTTTCTTCGATACAAGAGTCCAGAGGTATTTCCTCCTTTCGACCGAGCATTTGAAAGGAGAAAGATAGGGAAGTGGGATGAGAGATAAAGGTAAGAAAAAGAAGGGAGGAGGAAGAAAAAAAGGGAATGAGCAGGAAGACTCGAGGTTCACATATATCCTGAGACGCAACTTTTCTGGAATCATTGTCGTTATTTTATAGAAGTCATATTTAACCAAAAGCCTATATCAGTTATGACAACTTAATACGAAAGCGGCACAGTTCGGCTTCATAGAGGCATGTAATGGCACACAGCTAGGTTGTACAGGTCACCCTGTGAAGACTCCAAATTCCTGCTTGAATATGTACTAACAAAACGAACTAACGAAAGTGGAAAATGCTCCCTCCAAGCTGAACAGCGCCCTACAGTACAACCTCCAAAAGCTTCAGAAACGGAGCAGTGAAATTCTACGAAAAGTGCGAGAAGAAGTCAATATGAATAGCCGATGATAAGCTCCATACTGATCAAAAGTGAGGAAACTGCTCAAGACTGGATATTAAAACTGGAGTACCTTAGGTATTCCTATCCGCAAGCCTTTCACACTGGTTATTTGACTTGTGGAGGGTAAATCAACACTGGTGGAGTCATGCTGATCAATGCCAGTCATATTTTCTGAAGAAGAAAGTTCATCAATGGTACGAGAATCCTGGCGCACTTCGGCAACAGAGGGAAGGGGGGATCTACACCTTCGGTGCTTTACTAGTTACGGTTTACAGACTCACCTTGGTGAATCCTGTCAACTGTAGTGAAGGTTGTATTGTATTTCTCTTCTTTATAAGAGTTGACAGGTGTCTTTACAAACGTTGGCCAATATAATTTCGGGCCTTACAAGATTTCACAAGTTCCCACTTGATGGCAACATGTTGATGGGAAGCAGCAAAATGCTCCATCCCCTTCCCCCTCCCCCCGTCGCCGAACTGCGCCAAAAAATTAGACACCTTTCATTTCGAAAGTTATATCCAATAATCCGAAAAATAACGCACCAAGAAAATTCCAACATTCGTTGGCACTTCTACATATTATGGACGGAGCATCCATAGAGTTCACCTACAAATGCAAATAGTTTTGACAAAACTTTAAAATGCAAAAAATGGACAAAATTGGCGATTTGAACTGACACAAACAAAAGAAATTGCACAGTACCAGTGGAACCAAACCATGTCGCGATAGCACTCCATAGGTGGGTTTCAAACCGAATAACCCATTGAAAGCTGCCGGATTTCTCGAAGAACCACCAGTATCAGAACCAAGGCCCCTAAATTAAACAAATTCTGGGATGCCATCAATAACGCTTTAAGGATCTGCAGAACTGGTTCAATATTTTGCTAAGCGTGTTCCATTAGTCAGAGGTTTTTCTCAACATTTTAGCCTTGCATACACCGCGCTAGCGCGCATAAGAAAACCTTATCATAAGAATGATCTTCAGATCGGACTATGACGTTAAAATAAAAGAACCTTTGAGAATGTCTACTTCTCTCTTCGTAAAACCTTTGCACTGCTGTAAACTTTGACAGTTTTCGTTTTATTGTGCCAATGAAGCGCTATTAGGTGGAACTCTTTCCTTGACGTCTGCCTGACGCTTCGACTAGATCGTCGCCTTCAGAGGCCGCTCCACCAACGCATGAGCGGAATGGCACCACTCTGCTTTAGTTGTAGTAAGTAAATGTTACTGGTGGCTGCCAAGAACGATCTGGTCAAAATATCAGGAGTGAAAAGTTTCCACATTCTTCGTTGGTACAGTAGAAGGAAAGCTGTCAAATTTTAGGAAACAAAAAGCAAAAAAATGTTTAATGTGTGTTCATACTTCGCGTCCGCGTTTCCAACGCACGGCGACTTTCCAGTGTTTTGAGATCGATAAGCCAGCGCTGTATCGATATCTATAGTCTAGTTCGCTGCGGATGATGGGGCTTGCCAGGCATAGCTGCGCTTGGCACGGCGCCAATCTGCTTTTTTCCTTTGCGCAGGCGGCGAGACTGTATCATACCATTAATATGTTGTTTAACACCAGCTGCTGCCACTTACCCGCTTCAACAAAAGGTTGAACGCGCCAAACGCAGCCCCGAGGACACGCCCTATTATCCGGTGCGAACCAAGCTGCATACTTCCCTAATGGCTCAAAACGCTCCACTGATACCCATACTTCCCTAGTCGCTCAAAACGCTGACGCTAAGTATGAACGCACTTTTGAGCCTTTGCTCATTGGGCTAAACGTAAAGACAATAGGAATGGAAGAGAGGCAAACGTACATCTCAGCTATTCCTAATTGAACAGCTACAGCTGACCCACCAGATGAACCTCCGGGTACGATCCAATCGGTCTCGACGTCTTCCTTAAAAAAATAGCTGGTAAATTCTTATTGTGAATGAGAAAACTCAATAAAAATAGGAAAGTCACTAGTTTACGGACACAGACAATACAACAAATTCATGATTCATTAACTTTCCTCTTTCATTCATAATAATAACAACTCAGGTTTCATAAGGTAATACTAGCTCGAAACGTTTTTTTAATCGCCGAAAACCATTTCGGAGTACACAAATGCGAAGGAACGTGACAATTACGATATTAGAGCGGTGGCTGGTTCAGCTAATGCGAGGAGGATGGCGCTACTTTTGTCGTTCCACTATCTTTGCTCATTAAATTTTCTGGATATGGAATGTGGAACACAGACATACGCCAACTCTCAATGTAGCAAATTCTGCACAATGACTTCGACTACTGAAGTGAGAAGAATAACGTTCTTGCCGCTGGTCAATCCTTTTCGGGGCACGGCACGCATTTAACTTCTATTAAAAATCGCAGTGACTTACTGAAGGCGATGTGGCCTCGAAAATGACCTGGGAGGGTCAGCCAATGTACAAGTAAGTGTTCTTTTCCTCCCTGACAAATCAGGTACCAATTTGCCTACATGGAGAGCACAGGACTTGGCTATCTTAGGTGGGAGCTGAAGCGGGATTCGGTCGTGGAACCGCGCGCTTGGTAAGAGTGCCACTTGCCACTCGAAAATATAATAGGTAGTTTCGCCATGTTTCCGACAGGCCAGCCAACAATGGTTAAATGAGAGTAGTAGCGCTCAGATATAAAGAGCCAGGCGCTTCAGGGGGCATCTTTGAGAAAAAAAGAAAAAAAAAGGAGAATACGGTTCAAATAGGACCCATTAGTTCCTGATTGAGCCATGCACGAGCACACGGTGCGAGACTGAGCACTCGGAAGAGCTCTTGTCCGTTAATATCATGGATATGTGAGCTCTCCTCCCTTGTCGTCTTCACCATTGGAGTTCTTCTCACTGCCTGCCTTATGGCAGCTAATCGCAACTGTGGAGTGGGCGGGGACTCCGCGCGTAGGATGAACTCCGTCGCAAACTAGTGCTGCCCTTTCCACCCAATTCCATGCGATTAAAGCGGCGCAGCTGTATCCAGTGTGGACTTGCGCACCCTCTACTACCAGGTAATCGCACGTTGTGCCTTTATACTTTTCAGTACGATGGCGATTGATACGAGACCAGAA